TGGTTCCAAATCAGGAAAGGAGAGGGTTAAGTATGCATCCTGTCTCCAAACCTTTTCAATCTATAGGCAGATCACTCAAGAGCTAGGATATTCCTAGCACCATGGCCTTGATTGCATGTGATATTAGTGGTATTCTTTGATAACTTCTGCCCTGTTGGATCACCCATTTTGATTGGGAATAAATATGGATCTATTCCAGTCAGGTGGCCAGGTAGTTGTCCTTCAGACTTGTTGGCACAGCCTGGTGAACATGTCCAGGGCAATATCTCTTTGTTGAAATGTATCGCTTGGTACTCCATCAATTGTTGGGGCCTTGTTTTTTGCCAAATCCTTCAGAGCAGCTTGAACTTCCTCCTTCATCACCATTGCCTCTTGATCATATGTTGTTTCATGAAATTCTTTTGTGTCAGCCACTGCATAGAATACAGTGACTCTATGTATTCTTTCCATCTTCTTTTGATGCTTCCTGGATTATTCAGTATTCTGCCCATAGCATCCTTAAGTATTGTCTTTCTGGACTTGAATCTGTTCTTCATTTCCTTCGGGGTAAGAAATGCTGAGCAAGTTTGTCCCTTTTGGTTTTCTTTTTTTTTATTATTATTATTTTTGCCGTGAGTGTACCGTCAAATCAGATCTGACTGGTACAGGAGGAGATTTTCCCTCCTTTCCCGGCAGAGCATCTGGTGGATTTGAACCGTGTGCCTCTGGGATTGTAGTTGCAGCTCCTTGCCACTAGGCCACCAGAGCTCCCCCACTTTTGATTTTCTAACTCCAGCTCTTTGCACATTTCATTGTAATACTTTCCTTTGTCATCCCAAGCTGTGCTTTGAAATTTTCTGTTAACTTTCCGATTTCTTCCCTTTGCTTTGACTTCTCAGTACTCTAGTGCAATATTCAGAGTCTCTTCCAACATCTATATCAGACTTTTCTTCCCCGTCTGTCTTTGTAATGAACTTTTGCCTTCTTCATGGATGATATTCTCGATATCCTCCCACTGCTCATCTGCTGTTTGTTCGTTAGTGTTCAAGACCTCAAATCTGTACCTGAGATGGTTTTTAAATTCAGATAAGATATTATCAAGGTCAAATTTTGGTTCTTGTGGCTTTCTTTATTCTAATTTTCTTTTAGCTTCAGTTTGAACTAGCATATGAGTAGTTTCCACAATCAGCACCCGACCTACTTTTCACAGCTGATATTGAGCTTCTCCAGTAATTCTTTCCACAGATGAAATTGATCTGATTCCTGTGTGTACCATTAGGTACATACATTAAGTCCCTGTATATAGTTGCCATTTGTATGTCTTATAGAAGGTATTTGCAATGAACAAATCATCAGTTGTACAAAATTCTATCATTTTGCCTCCAGCCTCATGGATCTCTGTTTTCTAACTACTGATCCTTCTTCCTTGTGCCCAACTTTTGCATTCTAGCCATTTATTATTATTGTTATTATCATTATTATTAATGCATTTTGGTTGCATAGCTGATCAATTTCCAAGTGTGGAATCTGGTAGAAATCATCTATTTCCTCCTCTTTGGTTCTGGTTGTTGGTACATATATTTGAATGGTGGTGGTCTTGACATGTCTTCCTTGTATGGGTATGGATTACTGTTGTTGCTCACTAAATTGTATTTCAAGATGGATCTAGAAATGGTCTTTTAAACTGTGAATGTGATTTTGTTTTTCCTCACCTTTGTATTTTCAGTGTAGTAGATCATAAGATTTGATTCAAAATTTCCCATGTCAATTCCTCTTTGCTCACCTGTGTCTAGTATGTCAATAATTATGCATTCCATTTCTTCCTTAACAATGTCCAATTTTCCTGCATTCGTACTTTTCACAATCCACATTCCAACCACTATTGTCTGTTTGCAACTCTTCCTCCTCCTTTGTTTCCAGGTATAAGGGCTCAGCCTCTGGGGCCATATCTTCTTAGACTTAATCTAAGAGTGCTCTGTCCTACACACAGACCTACAGCTCATAGATCCAACAAATCAGAGCCTTTCCATATGCTGTGCCATCCTTACAATCTCTGATGTGCTTGGTCCCATTGTTACAGTCTCTGGGTCAATCCATCTTGTTTTCGGGTTTTCCTTCTTTCTTGGCCCCTCCACCTTTCCCAGCATAATATGCTTTACTAAGCTCCTGACAACATTCCCAAAGTATATGAGAGAAGTTTCACCATCCTGGCCTTCAAGGAGCATCCTGCTTACACTTATCCAAGAAAGATTTGTTCCTTGACCGTCTGTGGACTATTCAGTACCCTTCTCCAACACCAGCTGTTGTGGGAGCTCTGGTGTGTTAGAGGTAAGGAATCATGCCGCCAGCCCCACAGTATGTGTGATTTAATGCCTCTGAAAACCCACTGGAGGGCTAGCTATGCATTGATTCCAACTTGATAACTCAGAGGCAGCGATTTTTCATCTCTTACCTTATTCTAGTATTCATTGCCAACATTGCTGTTGAGTATGAATGAGCTCATAGTTGATGCAGGTTTCTAGAGGCTGCAAATTGCCTGGGAGGAGACTGCCCACATTTCTTGGCAGAACTGTTGGTGATTTCTAACCACTTTACAAATGTTATCTTTGGGTTAATAGCACAACTCCCATAGGAATAATTACCTTAAATGTTGGAATTTCCCAGAAATGCCTTTCTTTCTCTGTACCAAAGGTCTGTGAATCAACTAAAATGGTAAATGGATTTTTGTGTGTTGTTTTAAGACACTTGCTCTGGTGGCCTAGGACGTTTGAGGACCCAGAAGGGCAATTTCTTCCCATGCAATTAACTGCCTCTGAAAACCCACCAGAGGGTCAGCTATGGATCGGTTCTGACTCTATGGTACACAACTGTCCCTTGGGAAAGTTCCTATAGCTTTCATTATATTTTCAACAGCCCTTTGCTCTTTTAAACAAAGGTTAACTCCCTAGCCCAATCACATTCTTTTTAGGTTATTTTTTCTCTTTTGCTTTTAACCATCCTTTCTAATTCTCAGGGTTTCCTATATCGTTCATATTAAGGGAAAATGAGATTAACTACAAAGAGAAGAAACCAAGATTCAAAAAAATGTTGAAGATTCAGAACAAAAAGTTATGCCATACACATTATGCATTTAGCTTGTTCTTATGTGACATCGTGTTGCCTGCAACTCATAGTGCTCAAAGGCATCAATTCTCCTTCTGCCCTCCCTAGTCATTGTCCAACTCTCTGATGCATAACAAGTGATTGCAAAGACCATGGCCTTATCAGGCGCACCTTAGTCTCCAGAGAGACACCGTTGCTCTTCAGTACTTTAGAGAGGTCATTAACAGCAGACTTTCCCATCACAATACGTTTTTTGATTTCCTGACTGCTGGTGCCAAGATTGTTGATCGTGGAGCCGAGCAAACTGAAGCTGTGAACAATCTCAATCTCTTCGCCATCCGTCCCGATGCTACCGATTGGTCCAGTGGTGAGAATCTTTGTCTTCTTGACATTGAGCCTCAGTCCATACTGAGGCTGCAGTCCTTGACCCTTCGCAGCAAGTGCATGAGGTCCTCCTCGGTTTCAGCAAGTAGGGTTGTGTCATCTGAATAACGCAGATTGTTAATAAATCTTTCACCAATCCCGATGCCACAATTCTCCCCATAGAACCCAGCCTCCCGGATAATCTGCTCTGCATACAGGTTGAAAAGGTATGGAGACAGGACACATCCCTGGCGTACACCCTTCCTAATTTTGAACCATGCGGTGTTACCCTGCTCTGTTCTGACTACTGCCTCCGGGTCCAAGTATAGGTTTCGCATTAGCATGATTAAATTTTCTGGGATTCCCATTCTTTTCAGAGTCAGCCACAGTTTGTTGAGCTTAGATTAAGGAATCTCGCCGGGACCAGTTGGGAGGCTGAATATTGGGAAGGAGGCCTGGAAGGATAAGAAAAATCTTTGCTTGTGGAAAAAAAGCCTGTCACAACCCTAGCGGCTGGAGGCAGAGGGAGAGAGGGCGCCCCAGATCCTAGGTTGGGACAGGAGGAACCAGGAGAGCTCCAGAGCCCAACCAGCTCTGGTCTCTGGAGCCAGAATCCCCGCCTGGCTCCCAGCAGGCCCTTTGACCAACGCCCACCTTCTTCAATAACCTTCCTTGTACTAGAAACACTCCTTGTTCCTCCTGCCTTGGGAAAAGTACAGCCAGAATGTTCCTTGGAAGTGAGGATGGCCCAGTGTTATCTCTGTACTTTAGACATTATTAGGAGGGACCAGCCCCTGAAGAAGGTGATTGCGATTGGCAAAAAAAGGAGAGAAAGAAAAGGAACACCCTCCAGCAGCGAGAGTGACACAGAGAATGCAACAATGGGTCCAAGCAGAACAATGATTGAGAGGCTGGCCCAGCACCTGGCAGCGTCCCCGTCCGCCTGCACCTTGGGTCGCTGTGAGTCAAACTGACTGGCCTGCGCCTAACAACAACAACGCTTCCCTCTCCGAGCCAATCAGAGCAGTGGGCGGGGCCGTCCTTCGTCCCCTCAATTTTTTTATTTTTCAAAGGTCGCGTCCCCCAAAGGGGGGGGTGGAGCCTCCATGATGGGCATGTAGCTCTACCAATGAACTGCCGCAGCTCCACACAGGCCCGGCCGCCAGGGTGGGCGGGGCCGAGCGCAGGCTGAGCCAATGGCGGCGGGGCGGCCGGAGGGTGAGCCGCCGTGGGTAGGGTTAGTGTGAGAGGTGCGGCGGGGGAGGTAATGATGATGGTGGCTGCGGAGGAAGGCGGGGGAGGGGGTGCTGGGCGCTGAGCGGCGGCCGCGGCTCCGGCCGGGGGGTTGTTGGGTGGGGTCGGGGGTTGGGGGCGGCGGCCGCGGGGCGACTCCGTCGGGGAGGGGGCGGATGTGAGGGGCCGCCGTTCGCCCGAGGGGACTGCAGACCCCGCGAGCGCCGCTGCTGGCTCGGCGGTTCCATGTGGCTCCGGCGGCGGGGATGGAGGACTCGGTGGCGGCGGCGGCGGTTGCTGCTGCTGTGGCGGCGGCGGGCGGCGATGGAGGAGCGGCGCTGAGGAGGGAGCGGGGCCAGACTCTGCCCGGCATTGGGATCCGAGGTGTGAGGAGGAGGCGGGAGTGCGGCGGGGCTGGGGTGACAGGGGCTGGGGGCGAGCCTGCCTCCGCTGGTGGGGGGCTGGGGTCTGCAGCGGGGGGTCCCCCCGCGCGGGGCACCCTCCCCGCGGGGCAGCCCTCGCGCCCGGCCACGAGTTTCCATTTCCCTGCAGTTGGCAGCCAAGGGGCAGGCAAGCCCCGGTGGCCTGGCGTCCGGGACGCTGCCCTCGCTCCGCCTGGAGCTTTCCCTCCACTCCGCCTTCCCCCTGCATCGCCCCTTCGCCCCGAACAACAACAGCATTCCTCATTGGTCCTGGGACTCCAGGCTGTTCATGATGGGCTGCAACACAAAAGTTGATTTTAAAATAAAAGAACATACAATAAAATAAATTGCTCCACTCCTCTCCCTCTCTGCCTGGCGGTTGGACCTTAAAACAGCATCGCTTGACTTTCCCGCTCAGATCGCCCTTCTGGGGATGCTGAGCTGGGGAGACAGGGCCCCTGAATTGGCGTTGCCGAGTTTGTGGCTCCACATCTTCGGTTGTGACTTATGGTTTCTTCCTTGGTGTCTTGCATCCTTGGTGTTTGGAGGTTGGCGTTTTGTGTCATTGTTTGCAAACCATGCAGCGAGCTGGGGGGTTGGCTGTGGGTCGCAGCAGCGTTACCTAACATGGGTGGATGGATGGATTGGTGTCTGCCCGTGCCTCTCTCCTTATCAAGCTTTCTCATTCTGCCTTTGTTTTGCTTTGCAGCCCTCCAGACCACCCGTCATAGAGCCCAGGAGGTGGAATGGCTGTGTGTCCATGAGAAAGCTCCCCACGCTCAGCTTGTCATGTCCATCATCCTGTTCTTGATTGGACCGTTCATCTAAGATGGGATTTACCCTGTGAAACAGGGAGAAGACTTACATGGACCTCAGACAGCACTGCAAGTTGTAGTTGAGTTGCTTGACATCCAGACATACATGCCAAGCGCCTTTGCTTTGGACTTCCTACTTTTTTATTAAAGCTGCTGTGTTGCTAACCAGAACTGCACCCCTCTGTTGACTCATCTCTCCATCATGGCTTCAGTATGGAAGAGACTGCAGCGTGTGGGAAAACATGCATCCAAGTTCCAGTTTGTGGCCTCCTACCAGGAGCTGATGGTGGAGTGTACGAAGAAATGGTAAGGACATGCGCCTGGGGGTGTAGTTTTCTGTGCTTTGGCCTCCACACACTGGGGCCTGCACCCTGCCTCTTCTCACAGCTGGTGGTACCTTTTCTGAAACTCACAAGTGTTGGAAGCTGGGCGGGGTGCAGACTATGCCAAGAAGTTCTGTGCTGTGCACTGCTGTTCCTGGACCATCCCTGGGGTTCTCAGTCACTGTACTTTAATGTGGTTGAGAAGATTGCACCTGGATTTGATCTTGACGTCTTTCATTGTTAGAGTAACTTGATTCTTACATTTCAAGGTGCTATGAGGAATGGCTATTGAAATATTTTGACAATGTAGTGTTGTTGAAAGCTACATCTTTGTGGCGGGAGTGGGAGGGGGAAGCTGTTTCAAATCTTTATACCCCCCTTTTGCTTCTGAGAAAGAATTTCTCATTATCAGAATAGGGGAAAAGTCAGTTCATACTTACCTTGTTATACCCTTAATGTTTTATTTTAATTGCCTGCTGGGATTTTTTTTTTTTTTTTTTTTGCTGGACTGAAGCATTAGTGGGATTGGTCTATGATTTGCTTCATTCCACTTGAGCAAAGTACATTTAGGGTGTTGTTTTCATTACCATGAATGAGAAGAATTTGTATTTCTTGAGGAAAAAAAAATTATATAGTTAATTTTAAGCAAATGTTTCTAAGAAGCATTATTGCAAAATAAGCCTATTTCAGTGTCCGCAAGGCCTGAAATAACCTTTCGTAATAGCCTTTTTATTAAATGAAAAGTAGCCTACTTTATTCTAGAATCCTTGTAATGCCTGTGACATCCTGCTGGAGGGTCAGCCATGGGTGGGTTCCGACTTGACGGTACACAACACAACACAACCCACTGCATATTGAATATTTATTTAGAAACTAGCTTCAGGTACTTTTCTCTAGAAATTGTTAGCAAAGTTAATTTATATGCAGTTCAACAAATGTGTGCATTGATTACTCGTTTTCTACTGAGCGCTGTGCATACAGACTTGAAAATGGCATAGTGCTGCCCTCAAGGAGCTCACAGTCCAGGGTGGAAAATAGTCATAAATAAATAAAGTGTGATAAGTACAATAAAAGAAAATGCCTAGTTTTAATTCTTCCTTCACTCCTTAACAGCATCCTTGGGGCAGATTGTTTAACTTACCTGTGACCTGGCCTCTAGATTCACAATGGCAAAAAACAGTACTACATCATATGAAGGTCTTCTGTCTTGAAGATGTAATCAGTTAATGCATGTAAAATGCTAAGGACAGTTGTAGTTTAGGCAAACACTCTAACCAATTAGTTAAATACCCAACCAACTGTAATGCAAAGTTGGCAGATGAGTAAAGAATCATTGTAGGAATTAAGATGTGGGGTTGGGCTGAATTCCTGAGATCTGAATTGGCTTTTGAAAAATTGATAGTAGCTTACCAGGAAGTGGTGAGGAGTGAAGCTTGAGGCCATTAAATAGCTTAGGTGTGCTAGACTTCAAGGTGTGTCTTTTTGATATTGATAGGACTTAGTGCAGGATGCGGGAAGTACAGTGGGATATGTGGTTTGAGAGGCATCATGGGAAGTTATGTACTGTGAATGAATTAGACCACTGTTATTTTTCTGCAGATTGTGCACACTCAGACATACATACACAATGCACATGGTGTGCATTGCAAGTGAGTGCACGAAGGGGTTGTACAATTTATACAAAACCCCATATAACACGTACTTCATTTGTGTAAAAACACATTATTCTGTGAGTGATAGGGATATAACTAAAGCTTTGAGAGGCAGAGACATATTTGTGGTTTGGAAAATTGCTGGGATGTCAGTATGGATGAAAGATGGGGCAACAAGACTAGTGTTATGATGGGCAGGGTGCAAAAAAAGTCTCAGGAAGGCAGAGGCAGAAGGAGTGCAGAAAACAGACTGGAGCAACACTGAGAAACCAAGATAGATCAGACTTTGAGCCTTAGATAGGGCCAGAAAAGTGTAGGGGTGAGAGAAAAGGAAAACTCAAGGTTGGCACTTGTCTTAGTTACTTACTGCTGCTATAACAGAAATACCACAAGGGGATGGCTTTTTTACAGATACTTTCTTAACAGTTTTTGAGGCTGATTTTGATTGCTGTCCAGTTGAGCATGACTAATAGTGACCCTATGAACAAAAAACCTGAAGCCTCTCAATAACTATCGTCATTTATCAAAGATCATAGAGTTTCCAGGCCTAAAATTAAGGGGAAGGGGAGTCACTGGGGAAGGTTGTCTCTGTCGGGGGAAGGGCCTTGTCTCTGGAGTTTCTGCCCCTGGGTGATCTTCATGTGATTTGGTATCTGTCTCCTTCATCTCTACTCTCTTACTTTATTGAATCTCTCTTTTTTTTTTATCTCAGAAGAGATTGATTCAAAATAACCCTGCACTAATTCTGCCTCATTAACATAACAAAGATGTCATTCACAAATAGGATTATAATGATAGGCATAGAGGTTACAGTTTGCTACACATGTTTTGGGGGAACATGATTCAACCCCCAACAACGCTCAAGTTTCTGGTGTGCAAGCCTAGGTTTATTATTAACCAGGATAGGAAACTCATGGGGAAGATCTTGATTATGAGTATTTCTAGCACATTGGGAATAACAACTTTAAGGTCATGAAATTGAAATGTGTTTCTTAAGTCAAAATGTCAGCCACAAAATAATTTTCTTCTTCACAGTTTACTGCTTCCCTGAAATTCTTTCTTCTTTTTTTTTTTTTAAATGTGAAAGCAAGACTGGGAAGTGAATTGTAATACAGTTGAAATAGCTGACTTGATTACTTTTTGCAATGCCATTATGGTTTACTTTTTAAATTAGGTCTTTATGATAGGATCTTGCCTTCACACTAAAAAGTATTTGGGGATTCTTTTGGAATTTTCAGAACTACAATTCTAAACTTTTTGAAATTGTTTTACTCTCATTTACACATATACTTAAAATCTAATTGACAGTACCAAAATATAACATTTGTTTGGTGTGCGAGGGTTTTTTAATGAAAAAATTATTCATTTAGACTACATAGATCTTCAAAAATAGAGTTTAAAAATCTTCTCAATACGTGGAAATATGTTGTAAAAACTTGGAGTTAATATTCCATTTACCCTCCTTTGCTTAGAATTTTTGTGGTGAAGACTGGTCAGGCCCAATTTCTACTCTACTGTGATGTAGTTTTCTTTATTTTTGACATTTATTTAATCCCTTCGAGAAGTCTTAAATTAGTGGATGTATGTGTATTGTTTTATATTCTCCCTAAAGGACAAAGGAGTAAGAAATAGATTGGGTGCATAATTAGAATTTTTATTTATTTCTTTTTACCAGCTGCTTTTATGTTATAGTTGTTTTGGCTCTAAGGAATAAATAAAAGGAGAGGCAGGAAAAGTAAAGATGCTGAATGCCGAATAAATGAAAGAAAAGAAGGAATAGCACTGGAGAGAAATTTCTGACCTTGAGTGGCTATCAAAGCGGGTCTGTCGTAAATTAGAGAAGAAGGAATACATGATAGAGTGGTTATGACTGAGTCAGGATTTTTGCCTTTGGAGGTAGCCTGTATGTGTGCAGAGATACCATTGCCATCCTTATCCACTCTCCAACTTTAAAATGTGTAGGAAGGAATTGAAAATGCCATGGCTTGGATCTGGTGCGTCTTGGCCAAGGTTCTGTGTAGCTCTCAACTGTCTTCATTCCTTGGAGTTTCCGTTTACATTTTCAATATACTTCCATTTAGATTTTCAATATACTTTAACAAGAATAGATACTTGGTAAGGTTGAACATATTATTTTAAAACATTGCTTCTTAATTTTCAGTTAGCAACAGAATACAAAGTGCATCACACAGCTAGGGTTCCTTTCCTCAACGTTACTATGTATATTGCAGATCTGGCTAAAATGCAGGTTCTGTTTCTAAGGCAGAACTTAAGGAACCCTGGTTACACAGTGGCTGTACACATAGCTGCTATTCAAACCCACCCAACAGCTCTGGGGAGAAGACATCTCCTCCAGGAAAGATTCTAAAAGAAATATGCTGTCAAGTCAGAACTGACTCATAGGTGGCCCTCCAGCGGATTTTCAGAAGCTGTAAATGACGCACATGTAGATTGATCTTCTCTCGCCACAGAGCTGCTGATGGATTCAAACCACCCGCCTTTGGTTTGGCAGCACAGCTTCCTAGGCACTAGGTCATCAGCGCTCTACTGGTAAAGATTACAGCCTAGGAAACCTTTTGTGGCCATGTACCGTGTCATGTAAGGAAGGCCTCTAGGAGTGGGAATCACCTTGACCCCACACAAGAGCAGCAGAGGAGGGCTTGAGAGTCCGCTAACTCTACCAGGCTTCCAGGTGGTGAGGTTAGCCCAGGGTTGGGCAGGGTTCCAGTCTGACTCATCATCAGCTGGACGACACCTAACAACTTGTCGTGTTGTAGTCACAGAGTATGAGCCTGGATGACAGCGAGCAGTAACAGCATGATGCAGGTTTATGGAGGCCATGTGTAAAAAGACTCATAGTGTGGAATGCTTGATTCAGGATGGAGTCTGTGCTTTGGGAGAGACTCAATTCTTAATGAATTTTAAAGGAGTGAGCTGTGGTTATGTACTGTAGATAGTAAGTTCTGTGTGTAGCTACATGAGGAACTGAAAGAATTCTAATCAGACATGAAAAAACTCAATTGGTAACACATTAATGTCATTATATGTATTACATTTAAATCCTTATTGTATGTATTTTCTTAAAGATGTCTTGCCTTAACTGCCAAGTAACCAATAAATACGAATTATATTTGTTCTGAATAAAAAGTCTTCATTCTAAAGGAAAAGAAAGGATGGATTCTGTAGATTAGAGTATGTGGAGTTTTCTGCTTTCTCAAACTTCTCTTTGCTGTCCTCCTAATGGCTGGGTTTTTTTGTTCTGATGATGGTTTAATATTCTTGGCTCAACAGGACCCACTGATTCTTTCATGGTGTGATGGATGTAGAGCTT